CTTAATCCCTATTAAACCATATAATCACTAGCATATGTTACAGCAGCTAGCGTATAGACCAACGGATTTTAAAGGCCTATAATCTTCTATAGCAACATAACACGACTATATTTGTTTAATACTAGGAAGTTTAGCATAGCGCATAGGATTTTTATCGCTTAATTCCATTTTTACATAGACATAGTAGCTAACTTAGAATTTGTATCGCTGAATTCCATTTTTACATGCATCAGTCTTCCGAGTTCCGACCGGCGAAAACCAAGACCAACGAATTTTCCAGTAAAGCCCTATAATCTTCTACTAAAATAGCACAACTCGAGCGCTATATGATTTTTGTATGTCACTAAGCTTATGGGAGGCGGTTGGCACGAGTGGGCCCGAGTGCTATATGACTTTTGTATTCACTAAGCTTATGGGAGGCGGTTGGCACGATGGCACGAGTGCTATATGATTTTTGTCAGAATCCATGGCTTATTTTAGGCATCATTTGACTATTCGTCGACTATTCGCACTATTCGCTTCACTATTCTAGTTTTATCAATTGCCGTGCAAATTGTAAGAAATTGTAGCTTTTTTACCCCAAACATAATGTGGGACAAACATGTCGTGTAACTCTGACTTTACATGAAGTGCTTAACATGCCCGCGATACTTGTTGCCATTTCCCCATCTTGCCGACGGCCTTGACAACGAAGACGCAGCCATTTTATCACATCACAGACGATATGGCAAGTATTACTGCCAAGAAAAACCAAGCAAAATTAGCAGAAGGCATTTACAAACAAACAAATTGTAAGTATATAATAAACTATACGATTTAGGCAAATAATTAGAACTCTTCGGACTCTAATGTAAATTTGTAAGATGATCAGCTGGTGAGCTGGACACTCAGCTGAGTATCAAATTCCATTCACAAATTTATTTGTGACTGATTTCCTTTTTTTAACGCAGTTACTAAGACCGAGGTAGAAAATTTGTTGACCATATTTCGTCAAAGAGCAAACCAAAAAGAGAAACTGGATAGAACAAAGTTTCGTGATATACTTCATAATACTTTTGGCATGACAGATGACTTTCTTATGGATGGAGGTATGAAGTATGGTTGATTTGTTGTTCATGAAGTAGCTCTTCATGTAGTATATTGTAGATGTATTGTCCTTCTTAGGGTTCATTCATCTTAAAGCCTATCTAGATGGTACAATTAGTTGTATACAGTCACAGAGTAGATAAGACATACAGAGACGTAACTGACCGTTGTAAACACTGCGGAAGATTACGTTTTCATGTACATGTACCCACTTTTTTTCAGGCGACCAGGCGAAAAATGATCAACTGCGCATGGCTAGCAAGTTTAAAGTGAGTCGTCATCAGGTCGTTATCCAATCAGATGCATGCATCTAGTAACTTGCCGAGCATGCGCACAAAAAAGTGGGTACACTAGTTACGTCTCTGTATGTCTCTACTCTGTGATACAGTTCTCATTCTGGCATGACGTGAAAATTACTGCTGACGTTTAACAAATATAAAACATTTTCCGTGTTGATATACAGTTATATCAACACGAGTGGAAATTGGGAAAACGAGAAATTGTATGGAAACACGACGCCCGAAGGGCGGAGTGTTTTCATACAATTTCGAGTTCAGAATTTACAAATGCTATATTATAAAACTTATTCGTAGACGTCAGAGCAAGCATCTCTCAACTCTGAGATTGTGGGTTAGATCCTCACTACAGACTAATCACACATATGTGAAAAGAATTAGTCAACGCTCTACCAAAAGTTGTTGGTTTTCTCCGGGTACTCCAGTTTCCTCTCACAGGGAATGTTGACAGGGTGGGTTGGGATTAGCCCCCTAACTAACTCTTCCACCGTAGCTGTGCTCCGTGACCAGACATTAGTGAGCCTTTGACTGGATCATGTTGAGCTGCATCCTTCGCATTTCAGCTTGGCTCTCAGCTGCAAGTAAGGATGATTAGCACACTCCACTTACTTACCCCACTTACTTACTATAGGCCTTCAGTGTGAAAATCAAACAAACTATCCAGATGACCAAACAAGAATTGGGTGATCTGCACCCAGACTGTAAACTTTGTTACGTGTGCAAAGAAGAATTTTACTTTGTAAAATTATGTGCACCCAACACTTGTTTTTGTGCATGTAAAGCTTAGTCAATACCTTCATCTTTCACAGGCTAATTAAGTGCACACTTGGTACTCGTGAAGATAGAATTTTGCACACATGATTGTTTGCATACGCATAGAAGATCTCCATGCGCACTGCAAAATTTCCAGTCTGGATCTGCACTCACATGCAGTGATACTGGGAAAAAAGTATGCCCAATGGTGGATTACCAATTAGGGGCCTGTAGCCTAAGTAAAATTTGCAGGCCTTGAGGATGATATTCCCACACAAGTTCATCTTATTTACACAATGATAACAAATGTGTACATGCAACAGGGCTCATAAATGTTGGGATCTTTGGAATTTACTTAAGTTCAGCCTTGTTATTTTTACCTTCAATTGGCTTTCTTTTTGTACATTCTTTATATTACCATTATTTTGTAGTCAACCCACGCTTGATCAATTTGTAGCCTTCCTACATCCCTGAATAAGAATAAACTTTGAACAATGTTTTGGAGCAAAGGCTCATCTACTTTATCTACAAACTTTCTTAGTTTCTTCATCCACTAACTTCCAGACATTTAATGTACAGTCCAATCTGCGCATGTGCACAAAGGAGCCCTCTTTTTATTATACAAGCAGTTTATTTAGGTTTTTATTTCATTTTATGTTCTTGCAAAGCTTGATTGTTGTGTCTTGATAATGGACCATTTGCATTATCGACTAAATTTTGATCTAAACAAGTCTAGACAAAAATTTCATCACAGCTTGAAAGAGCATCACAAAATTAGTAATATTCCAAAGTTTCGTTACGAAATGTTGTAAAATGCAGATAATATAGCCTTGCAAAATGTGCAATTTTCAGTCATTTTGTATTACAAATCATGGGAAATTGATGCCCCAACACCCGTTTGGGCTGTCAATTTCCTGTGCGTAATACAAAATGACGAATAAAATTCTATATTTTGGATACCGAAATGTAAACAAAGCCTTTGTTTACCGCATATTTAAGGGCCTTTGCTTGAAAATTTGAAGTTTGTTCTTATTTTTCAGGTAGCTGCATGATCATACTGTACACACAAGCCTGCAAATTACCCTAACATTCTAATATTAATTCCACCAAGTGAAGTGCAAGAATCCAAATCATTCAGGCCTTAAAATATCTTTTCCAGGCCCGTCTGACAAAATGTCCGGTGACGTTGAGTTTGGGTCGGACATATGTCCGATGACCTTCAGTTCAGTTTTGACTCGGAAATAAGTCTGAATGACACAAATGAATAAACGGTAAATGTTGTAAAAATATTAAATAATTTGTTTCTTTCATACTTATTTCCAAGCCAAAATTAACTTGCTTTCCAGAACAGCAGTATCAAAAAGGCTTCGACAACTTAAGCCCGTTTTTCACTTCACCATTTCGCTCGCCGCCCCGTGCTCGACTACGTTAAAACAACATTTCCAGTTGACCTTTTATACAATAGTACTCTGATTTTCCATTTAACACACAAGTTTCTTGTCCAGAGTGGGCTAGGGTACATTTTAATTTACGTTGGACAAAGCTACAGTTCGGTCGGACACCAATACACTCGGGTGAGTCGGGTCGGACAAACAATAAACCTCAGTTTCACTTAGGTCGGACAGAATGTCCGGTGGTTACCTTTCTACGTCGGACAATTTCACAAATGGGTCGGACAATGTCCGTGACCGACTGATATTTTAAGGCCTGAAATAATTGAAGTCCACCTTATCACAACCCACACACCCGATTACCTAATATATATATATATACATGAACTTACGGTTACAGCTCAACAGCTGGCCTCTGTAGCTCAGTTGGTTAGAGCGCTGCACCGGAATCACAGGGCCATATATAGGTTCAATTCCTACCAGAGGACCTTGTGCTGCATTTTTCGCAGTCGTTCCTGGTTAGGTCTCAACATGTATATATTGATTTATTTATTTCTCACTTGGATTACAAACCCTAACATTCTAATATTAATTCCACCAAGTGAAGTGCAAGAATCCAAATCATTAATTGAAGTATTCCTCATTACCCATGCTGGAACCCAACATGCAGGATTTTATTGATCTACCCCATTCATTGTTATTAAACCTTAATGAGATTTTTGTAGTTTTTAATATTTGGAATATTTTTTACTTGTTCAGTGTTTAGAGCGTTTGATAAAGACAATGACAGCAGTATCAACATGGAAGAATGGATCTTGGGGCTATCAGTTTTTTTAAGAGGAACAATGGAAGAAAAAATGCATTGTAATTATAAATTAGTTTACAATTAGAATTCACTGCAGGTTAATAACGATTGCAATTTCAAGGTTGCAAGCAAGTCTTTTATTTGGCCTGTTCATATGTCAAGCAGATATGGAATTGAATCAATTAATGTTCACTGACGACTTCAAGAATGAATATTGATGAGGACACAACCATCATTTAACGTTTGAACCACTGGATTTAATTTTTGGTGAACTGCGCCCCAATTTGATAATTACAGTTTAGATACTGGCAGCCCTCTATGTAACTCTTTACACACAGCTTGCATGGGTATCACTGTAAGCGGTCACATATTTCACCTGCCTTCACAGACCTCGACCTATACAAAGCTCATTCCCATAACTTTATCCGATGTTGAACTCCCTTATTTCCTGGAAAGTCTTTGTGGGATGGTCTTCGGAGTTCCAGCCAGTGCTTGATACGGAGCCTCGCGTAACAGCTTGCCAAGAATTGGTCTCGTAGCCAGTAGTTTGTATTCCCTCATGGCTGAGAGCCGGATCAACAACGTGTGATGTATTAAATAACTCGATTCTTCTCCCTCCTGCCGAAAAACTTACGCATATTATGTAGCTTGACGTACAATCATCAATTGGTTAGTTTCTCTCTCTCCCTCTCTGCGTCTTCAGAGTCTCTGGTACAGTATATGAATTGTATACCTGTATGTCCAAGCTTTATTTTGTCATTTAGTTCTATAAATCTTCCAATCCAGAGCTTCAGCCTCGGATTGCTCAGCGACAGCACATTGAGCCTCTAATCAATGGACCGTTTGCATTATAGACTAAATTTTGGTCTAGACAAAAATTTCATCACAGCTTGAAAGAGCATCACAAAATTAGTAGTACTCCAAAGTTTCGTTGGAAATGTTGTAAAATGCGGATAATATAGCCTTGCCAAATATGCAATTTTCAGTCATTTTGTATTACAAACGGGAAATTGATGCCCCAACACCCGATTGGGCTGTCAATTTCCCGTGCGTAATACAAAATGACTGAAAAACGGCAAACTTTGCAAGGCTATATTATCCGCATTTTACAACATTTCGCAACGAAACTTTGGAATATTACTAATTTTGTGATGTTCTTTCAAGCTGTGATGAAATCTTTGTCTAGACTTGTCTAGATCAAAATTTAGTCTATAATGCAAATGGTCCATTCTCCGTCGTCACGGGCCGGTCTGAACAAGATTTTTCAGTTTTATATCGCTTGCGACCTTTACCGCTATTTGGGCAAGTCGTGTCTCAGTCAGTTTTCAGATACTGCTTTGTGGGAAAAAAAGATCTGTTGTTGCACGCAAGTAAAACATCCAGCATGCGCTGTCAATTGAGTTAATAAAGGGGGACGATTTTGGGAAGTATTCATTGAAGGGGGTTGTTTGTTCGATTCATAGACTGGCTCTAGACTATAGACTGGCGTGAGATACTGAAAAATACACAGTGAGATATTTTCCATATCTTCACTAGTGAAGATATCGATCACGTGACAATTTGCTTTTCAGCGTGAAATTTCACAAATTTTTGCTTGGGACTATATAATAAACAGAACATTACACGGTGGCTTGAAGATATGACTTTTATCTTCTCGTGTTAAAAACAATATTTTAATCACTCACTGCGCTCGTTCGTAAAATATTGTTTTCACCACTCGAAGGACGAAGATAAAAGATCTTCGCGCCGCCGTGTAATATCCTCTATATATATGTACGGTCTGAATTAACACCACTTAAATTTACATAATTTAATCTTCAACTACAGTACTCGTGGATAGCCCACAATCCATGAATTGTGAGCATTGCATGTGTATGCATTATATAACTTACATACAGTATTAATCTATTAATCGTTGTTGTGATCAATTGAAATAAGAATTTGAAATTCAATTGCAGATTGTTTTGAAGTGTACGACTTGAACAGCGATGGTTACATATCACGGGAAGAAATATTTCAAATGCTTAAATCAAGTCTAATTAAGGTACTGTTCAACATGGTGTTTTACAGTGAACTTTACTGAATGTATTTAAAAAACATATATGAAAACATGCACGTGTTAAAAATATTGAGTTTACTGGTATTTTATTACAAAGCGTCCAGTAACAACCGCTGCACTAAAGTCTCAAAGGTCCAGTTTAAGTCCCGCTGTAGGCTCCATAATCCATTATCCTTTGAAATTTTTCCGGCCTGTGATTTTGTTTCAGAAACAGTGCAAATATGTCTCCTTGTTTCTCACTGCCCTTGCACAAGGCCGGCGAGGCGGGGGGAGGGGGGGGGGGGAATTCCCAGGGCTCGGAGGGGCCCAAAAATCAGTTTCGGTAAAAAATGTTCGTATCGTTTATCATCGCTTTATGTTTGTCCTAAATGAAATGCGCCTACTTGAACAATATCCGCTGATCGTCGTGATCGATCGTAAAACGTACCAAATGTGAAATAAACGATTTTTCTGCAAAAACTGTTAGCCAAACATTGTGTACATCGCGTCTTTATCAGTTATGAGATGAAATGAGGTATTTACCTGTATTGAACAAATTTATTACGTCCGTCTGCTGGTACGGTAACTAAGGGCGGATTTTCATTTTTTAAAAGGAAGGGTGGAAAGATTTCTAGTGGGTACAAGCAGCACCACTGAGTGAACTTAAAGTGGAGGTTAAACACTTTATAAGAGGGGTTAGAGAGATTCTAGGCGGGGTTAACCCCCCCCCCCCAGTAAATCCGCCCATGACAGTAACATGCATGCACGCCACACGTGCCATCGCTCCGAAACTCTGTGGCGATTTCTTGCAAGTAATTCGCTGGCGATTCTCTCGTTGATTACGGTTAAAAAGTAGATTTTGGTGTGGCCATCAGCGTGAGAGTTAAAGTTAAGAGGGACGGGGGGGGGGGGGGGGGGGGTTCACCACTTTGTCCCGGGGTTGCCTCTC